GTTCGGCGTCGCGAGCCAATGGGAGGGCGAGGACAAGGGAACGGAAGGAGCTCGTACCTGAGCGCGAGCCCACCTCCTCGCTGGGGCTGTGCGCGGAGCGGCGAGGCGGGTTGATAAAGGGGAGAACAGGGGCTGAATGGGGCTTTTTATCCAAATAGCGCTGGGCAGCACTTTCATTCTCTGCCCCTTTTTGCATTTATCTCCCTCTCTCTCTCCCCCTCTCTCTCTCTCTCTCTCTGCGTGTGCAAATGAAAGTCTCTCTGTGTGTGTATGCGCAGGGGTGTGTGTGTGTGTGAGCGAGTGAGAGAGAGGCTTTCGCTGCTGAAGAAGGATTGAGATTGTAATTAAACCAGGCGTCCATGCTTACTGGTTGCCCTGACAACAGAGATGGGGGGCTAAGGTAGTGCACACAAAGGAAGCACGAGGGGCCCCGAAGAGGGTGAAGGAAATTAAGTCCCCCCCCCCACCTCGAGCCCAGCACACACAGCCCCTTCCCCCGAAGAGCACTCGAAAACAAATGCGAAAAAAGCGAGCGTGTCTTCAAAGCGCCCGGCGGACGTGTCCACCTTCGGCTGTTCGTTCGTTCCCCTCGGCTTCACGCGGCTTCCTGCGCGCAGCGTGACGTCAGAGGCGGGAACCCGGCTGCCGGCCGCGGCTGCGGTGTTCGAGGGGCTCCTTGTGGAGCCTGGTGCTGTGCTGCTTCGACACACACACCCAGGAGAGAGAGAAAACCGCGCATTTTCAGTCGTGCCCAGCAAAGGTGATAGCAAGCGCAAAATATTAAGTGTGAAGGTGCTTAGTTTTGTGTTTGCTTATAAAGTATTTTTAAAAAGCAAAGTTTAATCAGTGACAGTGGTTTTTTGTTACCTCTTTCTTAGGGGTTCGTCCTGCGCTGCTGGGGTGGCCCAGAAAGGCTCAGGGCTGCACTCTTTCACCTCAGTAAATCCCCCCAAAACTCAGGAGAAGACAGTTTCACGTTGTTATGGCTTCAGAACCCCAACCCTTGGCATTACTATGGAGACCAATATGGGGCTCAGTGAGGTGCAAAATTAACTTGCATTCTTGAAACTACATTGAATAATTTTAATTTACACCACCAGCTGCCTCTGTATTATTGTTTCTTTTGGATACAGATATAAACATCTTACTGTCAGAAGATGATTCACTGAAAGTCAATCAGCAGGACAAAATGCTAACAGTTCCCACTGCAGATTGCTGGACCGTAGTCGCCCCTGTGAGGCAGGGCCCGAGTCTCATCGCCGCCTGGTCTCGTGTCCTTGGAGAGCAGATCGGCGTGCAATGATGTTTAAGTGTGCACACAGATTATTAATTTTATGTGAGAAGTTCTATGTGTGACGTATGTTTTATTACTGCTCAGCTCCAAGCACTTAAAAACATGTTCTGCAATACAATTACTTACACTTAAACAGTGCTTTTTTTTTGGACACTCCACTCAAAGCACTTTACAGGTAATAGGGACTCCCCTCCACCACCACCTATGCACAGCCCCCACCTGGATGATGTGATGGCAGCCTGTGTGAAGACAGATACAGGTCCTGTTCTGGGTCCTACAAGGCTCATCCCAGCGAGTTCAGACATGGTGCACAGGATCTGCACTGGCGTCTACCCAGCTGTTTCCAAAGTGTGCTGTCAACTGCAGAGATGCCGCACGAAAGCAGAACCCTGCGTGCCCGTGTTCTCAGTTTTGGACAGGACAGGCCTCCGTTCCTGTACGCCCCCTCTCTGTGATCCTCCTGGTATTTGAGTGCCAGCAGTACCCCGTCTCGCACGTGTTTCCTATGAAGCCCCTCCAGCAATTAAACCAGCGCCCTGGAGGAGAGAGTAGAGAGTCACCGAGAGAGTTGGCACCAATCAGCTGAGAGCCTCCGCTGTCTTCCCTGTACCACGAGTAGCTCCTGCCAGGGCTTCAGCCTAGTCTAAAAAAAGCCCACACAGAGCAGCAAGAATAGAAGGAGTAGTAACCTACTTCTAACAGAGCGAAGTAGGGCAGTGTGCTCCCAGGAGGACAGGAGCTCGTGCTGCTGCCTCTCTCCCGTCTCTCTCTCAGCTCCTGTCCTGCCTGCCTGCTCCGTAGCCCTTCGGAGTCCTTCCTCCTCTTCCCAGAGGTCTGTCTAGGGACCATCGCACCTTGGGCAGTTCGGACAGAACAGTGTCATTACACAGTCACAACCACCCCCTGCCCCACGCCACTCAAAACACACTCACTCACAATCACTCACACAGATTCACACTCACTATCACTCAATCACCCACTGATTCACTCTCACTATCACTAAGTCACACACTGACTCACACTCACAATCACTCACACACTCATTCACTCTCACAATCACTCACTCACTCACACACTGATTCACTCTCACAATCACTAACTCGCACACCAGTTCACACTCACTGACGCACTGGTTCACACTCACTCACACCGACAATCCCTGACCCGCACACTGAATGGATGTAGTTATCACAAGCGCACATGTTCAAACTTTAACACCAGGGATTAATACCTTCCCTTGAACTGAGGACACACTGTTCATGGAATAAAAGTGCAACATTTTGGTCACTCCATTTACTTCCTGTTGACCTGACTGAGGTGTGGGAAATAACCTGTTGCTGACAGCAGCAGAGTATGATTAATACACTGTAAAGTAAATAAACTCATTTCTACCATCGTTTATTTACTTTACAGGCTGCAGGATACACACCCAGGACAGTTCACACAAGAGGATTTCTTTTCTCTGTGTCCACGAATGTTTTCCGAGCAGCCTCACGAGCGCTGTGTTGAGCGCGGCTCTCTCGGTGGGGGGGCGGCGGCGCTGTGGTGGCCCCCGGGGCAGGCGTCCCGATCCTGAAGAGGGCCTGGAAGCTGCGAGCAGACGGGATTGTGCTGGAAGGCCGGGGCGCACACCGGTCATCTCGTCCGGGTGGAAGCCCTTCCATGGGAAAAATCCCCTCTCTCAGCTTTCTGCCAAATACCCTCGCGGGAGAGACAAAAGGGAGGTAATCGCCAGCGGGATTTGGGGGGACAATGGCCCCGCTTTGTGTCGGGGACAGAACAGAGGATGTGCAGGCACAGCGCTGGCCCGTCCTGTCCGGGGGAGGGAAGTTCCAGAAAGGCCCGAGTCAGCAGGCAATCCTGCTAACAGCGCAGGCTGCGGCCCGCGGGCCCAGGACACACACACGCGCGCGCGCGCATGGCGGGGGGGGGGCTGCCGGGGGGCTGTGGGGGGGCGTGTGCCCACGGCAGGGGGGAGCCGGTCCGCACTCAGCCCAGACGCTCACAATCCTCAGCTCCCCCGTCCTCCTCTCATGCCTTGAGGCCTTGTGGGGGGGAGCCTTGGCGACCAGCCCAGACGCCCAGGGGAGCTCCAAACTGTACAGGAAATTCGTGCGTAAAAGGGGCATCAACAGATCGGCCCAGTGCCCCCTGCTCACCTGGGCGCCCACCCAAGCGCCCTCCCTCCCACC